GTTTTGAGAGAGACAAGAACGTTTCATTTTGTGGCAGTTTCAAAATGCTAAGAGCCTAAAGGACTCAAGAACATATCTTTTTATCATAAAGAACAGTATTGGGGCCGGCCCCGTGGCTTAGCATTTGAGTGCGCATGCTCCGCTACGGCGGCCCGGGTTCGGATCCCACGTGCGCACGGATGCACCGCTTCTGCAGCCATGCTGAGGCTGCGTCCCACGTACAACAACTGGAGGGACGTGCAACTGTGACATGGAACTATCTACTGGGGCTTTGGGGAAAAAAAAGGAGGAGGATTGGCAATAGATGTTAGCTCAGAGCCAGTCTTCCTCAGCAAAAAGAGGAGGATTAGCATGGATGTTAGCTCAGGGCTGATCTTCCTCACAAAAAAAAAAGAACAGTATTAGGTGGGGCTAGCCCGGTGGCGCAAGTGGTTAAGTGCGCATGCTCAGCTGCGGCAGCCCGGGGTTTGCCAGTTCGGATCCGGGTGCGCACTGAAGCACTGCTTGGCAAGCCATGTTGTGGCGGCATCCCATATAAAGTGGAGGAAGATGGGCATGGATGTTAGCCCAGGGCCAGTCTTCCTAAGCAAAAAAAGAGGAGGATTGGCAGAGGTTAGCATAGGGCTGATCTCCTCACACACACAAAACAGAACAGTATTGGGAGAAATAAACGATGGCCTATGAATCACGTTCTTGTCAACTTGGGCTGCCACACAAAATACCATAGACTGGGTGGCTTAAACAACAGACTTTTGTTTATCACAGTTCTGGGGGCTGGGAAGTCTAAGATCAAGGTGCCAGCATGGTCAAGTTCTGGTGACAGCCCACTTCCTAGTTTGCAGGTGACCACCTCCTAGCTATGTCCTCAGGTGGGCTTTCCTCAACGCATGTATGCAGAGAGAAGGAGAGAGAGCAATCCCTCTTCCTCTTCTTACAAGGCCACTAATCCCATCATAGGGGCCCCACCCTCATGATCTAATCTAACCCTAATTACCTCCCAAAGGCCCCATCTCCAAATACCATCACGTTGAGGGTTAGGGCTTCAACATATGAATTTGGGGGAGGGGACCCAAACATTCAGTCCATAACAAGTCAGAAGCTTTTCGGAAGCAGTGTAAAGAGGAGAAGTTTTGGAGAGAGAAGGAGAAGAGCTATAAAGTATGTGACCAATAAGGGTTTTGGAGAAGGGACCATCACTTCATCTCTGCCTGCAATGAGCTACAGATTAATTGAGGGAATCCCAGAGAAATTGGTATCCATTCCCAGCTTCCTGGGGTCCAGATGGGGAAGACGACAAGCCGCTCTGAGACACCCTGGGTGTCTGAAGGGCAGAGTAGGAATGGGGAGGGGTGGATGTTAGTACATCCAGATCCAGGGCCCTGATATACAGCCCAACCTCAAGAGGCTCCTGCAAATCCAAGGTTATGCCAGAGCATTTAGTATTGTTCTACGCCACTGAGACAGGTGGAAAAATACCTGAATAAGGGCTGGTAGAACAGAGGAGGCATAAAGAAAGCAAAAATCATGGTAGTAGCAAATGTTGCATAGATCATATGATCCAGATTTTGTGGTAAGAATCCTCAGCAGTGGAGGCAAGGAGAAAAGGCAATGCCCCAAAAGCCGATGAGAAATATACATCAGGAGATGTCAGCAGAGACCAGAACCTGATCAAGAACCAAAGGCCCTCTCCTTCCAAAACCCTTGACAGTATACAACCCCCACCTCCACCCCATCCCCTTTCCAACCTTAGAGAATAGGCCTAGGGAAGAGAGAAGTGGGGAGACCTGAAGTCACTAAATTGAAAATTATGTTAAATCAGATCAAACTTTTACACTGACATTCAAAACTCAACACAAATGTATTTTAAGTCCATCACTTCTCCACAAACATGGCGTGTGTGTTTTTACTTCTGCATATTTGCTAATAACATTTCTCCTGAAATTCTCCACCTATGCCTTATTTATATCACTAACACCTAACACATTGTCTAATATATAATTTGTGGTCAGTCAATGCTTCTGAGTAAACTAATGAACTGGATAGATGAATGAATGAGTGAATGAATGAATGAGTTAATAAGTTAATGTAAGAAAAACGAAAGACTAAAGCATCCTTCCTAGAATTATCTCCCTATTTGAACCTTCTCTGACTTCTAGGCACAGGTAAAACCTCATTTCTATCTAAGAAGGATTTAGGGACCATTTCTGCCACATTTTATTAAACTCATATCAATCATTGCCATTTTGCCATATATTATCTTGATTATTCCATAACAATATAAGCATATATTTACGTATGTATGGACACACAATCTCCTCCAAGAGTGTAATTTTGAGAACAGACATTATAGTTTTGGTGAGGATTAAATGAGGTGAATAAATGCAATCTCCTAAACAAATAACTTCCCCAATTTTTCACATGGCTAGCCATAGGAGAAGAAAATGCATGGTAAGGCAGGGAATATAACCAAAACGATGTTTCTTTAGAACTCTAAGTACCAAGAGGATAACCAAGTTTAACAACACATACTTGTCTACCATTTCATTAAAGCAGGGTGTAGCAAAATTTCACTGGCTATATTTCCTGCTGCTTTCATGAGGGATGTTTATAGGGAAGGAAAATTCATTAAAGAAAGCAAAAGTGAGAAATGCAAGGTGATAGTCTTCAGCTGGATTGTCACTCTCAGGCCAATTTTATTGCCCACCCTTGCATTAATTTCTTTAATGCTTGAACGACATTTAGTAAGTTTTCATGGGTGATTACCATGAAAATGCAAGCTATCATTATTGGTAATAACCTGATATCATTATGCTGTTTTTCAGCATTAATTAAGGTAACAGGAAAATCATATTTGTAAAACAACTTTTTATTCATCTTAAGTGTGTTGTCTGGGAAATTTATATGGTTCAATGTACAAATTTTGCTTTTCCAAGCTATTCTTTCTTTATTCTCTGAATTCAAAATGCCAATCAGACAATTGATTTTGGAAGCAATAGACAATGCATTGCACTGCACTTTACAAGATTTTCAAAATAATATTTTTGTGGAGTAAGTGATCAATATAGATACCAATTTATATCCAAAAAGAAATGAAAATAAAAAAGATTGATGTTTATGTTTTAGGAAATTTTTACATTTTATATATTTACATTTACATTTTTGCATTTTATACTTAATATTTTTTACCCCGGAAGAAATAATGTGATCTTTCATATATATTTTCCCCAAATCATCAAAGTATATCTGCTCTACATGTTTGCATTGGTTTTGTTAATACTTATCAATGTAACACTCCCCTTCCTGGTTTTCATAATTTCCATCCATTTTCCATTGTATTCATATACTAAGACAAAGAAACACAAGGAACTATCTTTGGAACAATAAGTTTGAATTCTTTCTCAAGCACAGATTTCTATATTTAAAAAAACAACATTTTTAGGACTGGTAAATAGACTCCAATTAAACATTTTCTTATTAATTCAGGTTTATTTTAGGATTATTATCCATATTTTAGTTAGTGGACAATGATTTCTTTTTCTTAAGTGAACTTAAAATTTAACTGTGAATGGTCTGAAAAAAAATAGACTCTGGCTTTTACAGATTAATTTTTGCAATAAGAGTTACTTTACTTTTGAATAATTTACACGGTTACTTATTTTTGTAATGATGAATTTAGTATAAACACATTCTAGCTATTTTTCAGTGTGTGTTTGGCACGTTCATTTTCTCTGTAAATGAGGACGGCAAATAGTATTGTAATAAACATAAATAATTGTCTCCCGCAATTCAAGGGCTTACTCTCTATAGATGTCTACCCAGAATACTTTATTACCAAAGCCAATCTTTACAATATGCAAGCATAATTTAATTTCTTCTTCTTAATTTTTTTTTATAATTCTATTAGGATGTTCACTAATATCCCTCATTTTCAGGCTTGAAGAAAACATGAATGGTTGATGGGAAAAAAGAATTAATCAATTCCCTTCATGCAAATTTCTGTGATGGTGGACAACCAAGTCAGGGGATCCGGGAAGCCAGCTCTGCTGCTCACTTTTCAAACCTAATAGTTCGTAAAACATCCCATTGAATCACAACTGAAAGTCTGAAATAGTTCTCTGAGAGGATTAAATACTGTTCTGGATTAATAAATAGGGCTATCTATCTGTTCATAAACTCCATTTTCTCCTTTAAAGTTTTTTTTTCTGGATTTAACTCAAATTGCCCCTTTTAGTTTCAAAATTTCCCTGAACCCAAGAATACAGTCAATTTTACGACTTAGCCCTTCTTCCCTGTACATCTAACCTTGAACGACTGGCAGTTTTGACCTCAGCTCCATCCTGTTGCTGATGTTTGATTAGTAGCTGTGTCTAAACTCAGCCAAAAAGGACTTTCGTATTGTTCCTTCATTCCCCTGGGATGAGTTTTCTTTGTAATATTATATGTGATGTTATTTCCACTTAACTTTTTCTATTACGGTTTTTTTCCTCTAATTTCATAACATGACTAACTATTTTATATATGTCTTCACATCCCTTAAGTACTGATTTGTTATTTTGATTCACTTTGGAAATTAAAGAGTATAACATTGACAAGGTAAGTTAAAATAAGCTCTATAGAAATTCTTGGTTTCATTAAAGAAAATACATGATCTATAATCTTAAGACAAATAAAACAATTTTCCAACAAAATCCACATGATCATATTCCAAAGAGCAATTACTTCCGCCTTTTTTTCTCATTTTCATTCTCATTATTTTCTAATCATATTTTGTAACACCAGCCAAAATCTATACTCGTTGCCCAGCTTCTTCTCGAATGTCTTCAGAGCCCACTTTAAAGACATTTTATATGAACAAATTTTTGCAATAAATCTATGAAAAACTTTAAGTAATCAGTACAGTAAATAAACGTCTCAGAGATTTCCAATGTTTTCATAAACCATGCAGTACATTTCTCTGCATCTTAATTTTAAATTAAAAACAGTTAAAGAAAATATCTTACCCCAAAAGTTTTCTGGCCATGGACTCCCTAAACTTGTTGTATTATTAGCCATAATATCCACAAGAGAGAAGGAAAAAAGAAAGAAAGAAAGAAAAGCCAGTATGTCCGAAAGAAGCACTTTGATTCTATGCCTTTGTGGTTCAGCGAGAGAAAAATAATTTTCACACAAACCTTCATATACTTGTGTTTGCATAAAAGGAAATAAGTATATCATGTTTCCTGCTTTTATACTCAAATTAGCAACTGTTTTTCTTATCTTGGAATTCCACATGGTTCCCGAGACACGAAACAATTTCCTTCTCGTCATTTCCTCAGCTAAATTACTAAATCCTCTCCTCTCGGCCACCTCCAAAATGCTTTGGGATAAGAGGCTCTTTTCTTGTTCTTTCCCCATCTCCTACTGACATAACATAGGAAGAAGATTTCAAACTCTCAGCTACAGCATTTTGGGTTAAATTTATACAGGATAGAGAAATAGTCTGCTTTCCAATGTTTGAAAATTATATTTATATAGTAAGTTGGGGGGGAACTAATATTTCTTCTGAAATCCATGTTCTGCTCAAGTACAATTAGTTCTATCTAATATCTATTCTTTATAAATCTCAGTTACTTATTAAAATTTTTAACAAGTCTCTTGCTCTATTTGGTATATTAATTTTGAAAATTTATATTTCTTTCTACAGAAACGGTATAGTTCTTTAATTGATTTCATAAATATTTATCTAAAATGTATTTTATATTTAAATTAAAACTGGTAGTTAAATGTGGAAAAAAAACACTTTCTACACAAAGGAACTTATTTATAATCAAGTAAAGCAAACAAGTTCAAACACTCAATTTCAACAGAATATTAAATGCTATAGCAAGGAGTAGATATCACAGTAATTTCTTCTTCAGGGAGAGGTCTGAGAGAACTGATGACTATGAAAGTATGAAAATAATTTTACCAAGTGGAGAAAGAGTGAGAAGGCAGAAAGAGAAACAAAAACAAAGGAGGGGAATCGTTACAATTCACACTTGGGATATTCTGGGTGTGACTATAGACTGTGGGAAGTGTGGCTATAAGAAAGAATTATGTGTGGCTTTTCAGGAGAGGTAGCTCAGTTAAAATTTTAAGAGTCTTTGCAAACTTTATTAGTTAAACTAGATCCTCTGAACATTAGGCAGCCATTGGAAGTAGGAATGACAGTGCCGAGTGGTAATTAATAACTGCCCCAAACAGCATTCAACAATCTGATTGCCTCAATCTTTGCAGCATTGACTCCTGCATACCTTGCATCCACCCTAACTGTCATTAGAACACGATTGAGTGTGAATCAGTAATCGTCTCTGTGAAGTCTGTAACATATTCCTGATTAGCTCTGGGAAAATCTGAAAAAAATAAAATGAAGTTTACCCCATATTAATTTTTGCAGTCCTAATTCTCTAAAAGCTAGGTTGTTTCTGCTCATTTTCTTAATTTTGATAGATTTACTGTGACTGGAAATTGAAATATAGACAATCTAAAGGAGAATCATATAGTGTTATAGAAAATTCACAAACTTCACTGAGCAAATACGAAGACTCATCTCTATAATATTCTTGCTAAGGTTTATTTCCATATTATCAAATAAATAAAATATTGCTTAAGAAAAGCAAAAAAGGGCTCACATTTTAATAGTTACCTTTACTTTTCAGTATTTATAAAATAATAGTATATTTTTATATATTATATATCATAAAAATATAAAATAGTAAAATACAAATTTTATAAAAATAGAAAATTAAAAGACTATCTTATTTCTGAAAGAATATAATCTGGATAAATGTACATTGTAATACTTCTAAATTCTTCTAGAAACAAATAGAATGGGATTCTTCAATTACTATATGTATTTTTAAATACACATTTGGTTGTATTTATAGGCTACCTGATTCAACAAATACTAATTTCAAAAATGGATACATTTTTATAAAGAGTTATATAGAGTGCATATGCCCTAAAACAGCAAACCAAGTGAGTGGAATGAATGAGTCCGACTTTGTCAAAACCGCCTTCTGTGCAATAACAGATTCATTCCATCTCAGGGCTGGGATACAGGCTGAGACTTCCTTTGATTGTTCCATGTTTAATTACCTAGATTTTCCTCCAAAAAGTTTTCACTTTTGCAGATGGTCAGAACCCAGTCAAAACCCTGAAGAAAACTTGTTTTCTATCAATTTACGACCTAGGAATATTTTCCTTTTCTGTTAACAACTTGTTGAGAGCATTAGTTCTCATCTGTGCAGGTAATTTGCTTGGTGAGGATAGCTACTTTTCCTTGTCAGAGAGCCATATAAGTGAGTGCTTGTGTCTATGTGGTTTTCGAGTCCCATGACTTGTAATGCCAAAACAGGAAGTTGATTTTTATCTTTACAAAAATGTTAGGTCTGTTTTTCTACTGTTCATTATTTCACAAGTTGGGTCTTTAGATCTGGATTCTCCAGTGGTCATAAAATACATTTAGAGGTTTGTTCTTCCCTCTAATTGTCACAGGTCTTACTTCCTCCCTTTATTCAGGTGTCCACCTCTTCTCCAGGCATTCTCTAATCACCTTGTCTACAGTGTTCCCATTTGAACCACTCTCTCCCTCCACCCTGCATTATCAGTTTCTTCTGAGCATTTATCACTCCCTGACATTATGCATAAATACTCTTGCATTTTTGGTTGTTTTTTTGTCTCTTCCACCAGAAGTTAAGTTCCACAAAGACAGGAACTTTATTGATCTTGCTGACGTCTGTATCTCCTGTGGCTAACATAGTGTCTTAATAACATTTGTTAATGTTATTAATAAATAACACAACAAGCTCTTAATAACAGGCTCTTAATAAATGTTTATTCAAAAAGGGAATGAAATAATTCCAAGAGATCTGACGATGAAAGTATTTTGGACATTTCAAGTCAGGTTAATAAAAAATGTCACTAATCATTTGAAAACAAAAGTTAAAAATCTCTATTAATAGGTATTCTGTATTTTATTTATTTTTATTTTTTTATAATTTTATTTATTTTTCCCCCAAAGCCCCAGTAGATAGTTGTATGTCATAGCTGCACATTCTTCTAGTTGCTGTATGTGGGACGTGGCCTCAGCATGGCCAGACAAGCGGTGCTTCGGTGCGCGCCCGGGATCCCAACCCCGGGCCGCCAGCAGCGGAGCGCGCACACTTAACCGCTAAGCCACGGGGCCGGCCCTTGCATTCTGTATTTTAAAAGTTTGACTTATAACTTGGCACAAATGATACAAAAGAATACTGTTACACTTAAGAGAAGATACACATTTAACTTTAAACTTCTTCTTTTAGCCTTATTTTTTAAACTGTCATGGGTTTTGCCTTCCTATATTAAATTGATCCAAACAGTATAGCTCTTAAAAATAGAGAACTTTCTCTGCATGAAGTTGGAGAGATGTGGTGGAAGAGAGGCCAGAGGGATGCTCTTTCCTCTGGCCAAGAGGAAGTCAGAGAGTTCACAGATGAAGAAAGATTTTACATACTGTTGGTGGTTCTGAGATGTAGGTGCCATGTTCAAGGACCAGAGAGAGGCTTCTGGGAGCCAAGGGCAACCTTCAGCTGACAGCCAGCAAGGAAACGGGGAGCTTAGTCCTACAACCACAAGGAACTGAATTCAGCCAACAACCTGAAGGAACTTGGAATCAGATTCTCCCCCAGAGCCTCCAGTCAGGGATGCAGGTCTGCTGACATCTTGATTTTAGTCTTATGAGACCAGTAGCACAGAAATCAGCTAAGCCACACTATGGCCAGACTTCCAACCCATGAAAACAGATTATGTCCAAAGGAACTCAGTTTTTCTAAAAGAAGACCTGTAATGGTAACAGTGAAAACCAAAAGATAATGGAGTATTATCTTCAAAGTTCTGAGAGAAAAAAATAACCTGTCTACCTAGGCAACTGAGTGTACAGTGAACCTATCTTTAAAAGATAAAAGTGAAATACAGACATTTTCAGGAAAACAAAAATTGAGAAAACAAAAATTATCCTGAGTTAATTACTAGAGAATTAAGGTCAGAAAGAAAGAAAATTATTCTAGAGAGAAAATTCAACGTAAAAAAACTGGTAAATGTTTGGGTCAATCCAAATGTTTATATGATGAAAATGATAACAATAGATTTTAAGTTGCTGGAATAAAAAAAATCAAGACAGAACTAAAAGCCCATAGGAAAATACAGCTTATAAGTAAAAGGTACAGAATGAACTGAAGCATTCAGGTGCATTAACTTTTCAGAAAGGGGATAAAGATCTTGATGATTAATTATAGTCTGAAGAAAAGAACAGAACAGAACTTGACCTGAAATATAGTATGAATTGAAAACAAATTCAGCAAATATCATAATCATTGAAGAAATATTAAAACATTCCCCTTACAATTCCTTTAAAACATTCCCTTTAGAAACCAGACAAATTTGACCACTGTCACCATTTCTATTCAACATCAAACTGCACAACATTGCCAAAACAATAAGAAAAATACATAAATATAGAAAGTAGAGCCAGCCCTGATGGCCTGGTGGTTCAAGTTTGGGGTTTTCACCACTTCAGCGGCCTGGATTCATTTCCCGATTGCAGAAACACACCACCCATCTGTTAGTTGCCATGCTGTGGTGGCGACTCACGTAGAAGAACTAGATGGAATTACAACTAGGAGATACAACCATGCACTAGGGCAGTGGGAAGGGAAAAAAAAGAAGATTGGCAACAGACGTTAGCTCAGGGGGAATCTTTCCCTGCAAAAAAAAGTATATTTATTTATACAATGTAAAAGGATTGGAAAGACAGAAATGAAAGTATAATTTGTTATAGATTGTTTACATTACCACAAGCAATATAAAATGTACAAAAAAAGAATTCATTAATAGATACAAAACATAACAAGCAAGAAAAACATAACAAAAATGTACAAAATTTATATGAAAAATGATATTTTATTGAAGGATGTGAAAAAAACTTTTAAAATGTAGTGGCATAATATGTTCATGGATAGGAACACTCAGTACTGAAAAGATCTCAATTCTCTTCAACATACGTATTTTTCTTAATTCCTAAAAAAAATCTTAAATGCATTCTTTAAGAAATTTGGCAAGCTGATTCTGAAATATATAAGGAAGATCAAAGGGCCAAAAATAGAAAAGATGCTTAAGAAGAAAAACTAGGTTAGGGGAC